GGAAGGCAACCAAGATTGTAAAACAAAACCTATGAGGAACAGTTTAGGGATCTGGGAAGGTTTAGCTTGGAGTAGAGAATAGTGAGCAGTTGTCCATCTTTAAATATCTGCAGGGATATTATGTATAAAATGGGGCAAGCTTGTTTTTTGCTGCTTCAGTCTAAGAGACAAAGGATTCAAATTCAAAGGAAAAGGATTCCACCTAGCAATCTAGATGTTCAGCAACAGAATGGGCTGCCTCAAAGTTGGTGGACTCTCCTTCATTGAAGATCTTTAAACAGAAGTTGGATGGCCCTTGCTCAGGAGTTCTTTAACTGTATTCCTGCATGGCAGGAGGTTGAGCTAGAAGGCCCTTCTGACTCTGTGATTCTATGCTCCTACCAGCCTATGCCTCCTTTAAAGCACTTGCCAAATTCATCAAAGATTATCATCTAGGTTCTCAATATCATTTAGAGAGTCACAACAAGCTATGTAACACCACCACAGAAAGGTTACGAACACTATTCTTTTTTTATTTACATGATAAAACTGCAGTGCTAAATGTGATATGAAGATCTCCAGGGTCATCCAACAACTCAGTGTTTAAAACTAGAATTTATACTGAAATGTGACAGAGATGCCATTTTTTTTTTAAGTACTGCTATTCTGGTGGCAAAACATGTCTAGAAAATGTAGTATTCGGATTTCAGAATCAAAATTTGTTATTAACGTTTGAATAAAATCTGGGGTTGGGAATTGAAGTCCAGCCTTGATTTATTAATTGATGAGAACTTGTAGCCCAAAAGACTAACAATAAATGTATGGCACTAATGATATATTAATGATACTAATGATATACTAATGATATATTACTTATAGTAACTATAAGTAAATAATGCAAATATTTACTGCCCTGATAAATTGCATATTTTGCACTAAGTGACCTTGGGCAAGTCACACTCTCTCAGCCTCAGGGAAAGGCAATGGAAAATTTCCTCTGAACAAATCTTGCCAAGAAACACCCATAAAAGGTTTGCCTTAGGGTCACCATAAGTCAGACATATCTTGAAGGCACACAACAACAACGACAATAACCAACTACTAATTGAGTTAGTAGCCCAAATCTGAAGGGCCACATCTCCCATAATACTTGCACATTGGTTGAGGATGATGGAAGGTAGAGTCTAAAATTCTTCTTCTTCTTCTTCTTCTTCTTCTTCTTCTTCTTCTCATGTTGCTTCCCAATCTGATCTTGACACAGATGATTATAATGTTGATGATAGTTATAGTAGTTGTTGTTGCAATTGTAGTAAATGGGGACATTAGGGTTGCCAGGCTGGATAAAGGATGAGGCTCCAATAACTTTAATGGTGGACAGATTATGGAGCAAGACAAGATCATGAAGGTCTTCCAAACTCCAACTTTCAACCACAACCTTCTCCTTCCAACACAGTGACAGCCTCCCCAGCAGAGAGCAGAGGAGGGACTACAGAGGTGCAAGTTACAAGAACAGAACTAAGTGCTCCTTCATGTCTTTCCCCACCAGGGAGGCCAAAGTCATTTTGGAAATGGATAGCTGAAGCTGAAAGTTGGGATTTAGATGTTAAGAGATGACAGATATGTTTATCCAGCTTGACAGAGTTTTGTGGTACCTTCTCCTGCTAAGGAGATAATTCTGTTCAGGATTAAAGCTACAGGGAGCCCCATTCTGCATCCAACCTGGCAATCCTAGGGTACATCCAAAAGGGAATGTTCATGACTACCACCACTGTGGAAAGAACAACAAAGTAAAAGGACCTTTATTTTGAACCAGTAAATATTATGATGACTTCCATGCAAATGTTTGGTGGTGTAACTCCATAAAATCAGTTCCTAGCAAAGACTATCATTTGCTTATGCATGGTTGACTCAATGCCCCAGCCCCCTTGTTGCCTGCCAGCACTCTTTCATGCTGGCTTGTTTATTTCCAGCTTTAACAATGCATTTTTAAAAATATTTTTATGAGGTGCACTGCATTTCTTGGTAAAGCACTTTAATCCATTTTAATGGCCCCATCCTTCTCCTTGGTGGCAATGCCGTGGTTAGTCTAATGCATTCCACTCACCTCAGGGTTACTAATGAGGTCACACAGAACACTATCTCCACCCTGAATAATTCACTGATCAGATGCTGCAGACTCCAGTGGTAAAATTTATTTCTGACACCTAAATAGAAAATGGATTTGTGGAAACATACACAAAACACTCACAGACACTCTCCATATAGGAAAGAAATGATTTGTGCTAGAGTGATTGGGCTATTGTTTAGCCAAATGGAGTGTGCTAGAACTCCATTTGGCTAAACAAAGGTTTTCTGTCATCTCTCCAGAAATGAAAGTTTGAACCTAGTCTGGATTAGAGGACATGGAAGACATTCTGGATTGTGTTTCAGAAGACCTATAATGGTGGTCTATTCACCATATTCAGCTGCTAGCACTATCTTTATGCTTTCCTCTTGTAATTTCCCTTAGTAGGAATTCCTAATAGACCTAAGATAAAGGCTGAAAGATTAAGGTTCCTCACACAAGTCCTATGCTTTTTTTTCTCTCTCAGATTCAGTGGAGCAAGTAGCAAGATGGGCATTATTGCCTCACTGTACCATCTCACTGTTGTCTGTGTTTGTGAACATCCCACACAGGCTATTGTGGAGCTTCAGCTACGCTTCATCTAGGTTGATACCATCACCAGAAATCCTAGTATGTTGTTGTGATGGTGGAGAAGGAAGCAGAGGAAGGGGAACATAAAGATGATAATAATAT